TACACTTCTCTTTATAAGATATTGATAGCTACAATATACATAAATGAAGATACTAGAATCATTACACTGTTCAGCACTCCGCTAGGTATTGTAAGCCGTCATCGATTCGCCACTTCTCCCTAGCTATGTTTGAGTTCCGGTCGCTTAAAGAAGAATTTTGTATGTGAAAGCAATAACAAAGTTAGCTAGCACGGATAGACAATAGCGAGTTTGGTTGTACCTCATTGAGTTCGTTCGTTTCGCCACTCGCTAACTGTTGGCGAATCGATGACGGCTATAGTAAATAGTAATTTCTCCGTTTTTCCAAGTTAGCCTCCGAAGTTCGATAAAAAATTATTTTTTATTATATGTTAAATATAGTCGTAGACGGCCTTCTTCTCCTATTTAAATGGTTTATAACTTTTTTCGCAAACTTGCTATAAACGGGAAAAGGTCGGGTCTTCGAAAAATAAAAACCTAATATTTCAAACGATTTGAACTGATTTTTAAAAAGTCGGTATCGGTGTAAACGTGATTAGACCCCCTTCTTCTCTTCTGATATGCGTATTTGTATACTTCGCATACAAAAATTTGAGAAAAAACACTTAAAAAGAAAAAATACCTGTTTTTTCTAAAAAAAAAAAAATAACAGAAAAATTACCAACCCATTTTTAAAAATTTGGTATCGTTGTAAAGGCGATTAAATACCCTTTCTTCTGGTATGCACACTTGAATACTTCGTATATAAGAATTTGAGAAACACCACTTAAAAGCAAAAAATTCGTTTTTTATAAAAAAAATATGTTAAACAAAAAAATTACAAACCGATTTTTAAAAACTTGGTATCGTTGTAAAGTATACCAGAAAAATTATACTTTTTTAATCCCAAAAGTTTCTGTTTTTATACACGAAGAAAACAAATTTAATTAAAAAAAATTTTTCCCTCTACATAAACTCTTGCCCCCTTAGGTGAAAGGCTGGCCTTTGTATATAAAAAAATTAAAGTATTTAAACCGTACGGTCAGTTTGTTCTTTTAGAGCGCATACATGGTTCCAAAATAACGATTCCACTATCTTCATTAATGTACATTGTAATTATAAATATCTTACAAAGAGAAGTATAACATTTTTTTTATCTAAAACTAATAAATTTGGAGGGACGAAATTCGAGGATGTGGTAGATAAAATATTAGTCCTTGAAATATATTTTTTTCAAAAATAAATATTGGAAATTTCCCAGGATATTCAAGCATAAAGTTTTAAAAGGACATTTTCAATACTTATCCTCCTGGTGCTCCCAAAAATTATTTTTTTTCTTTCTACAGAATTGTTCGTTTTAATTGATACCCATATTGTTATTCTACAATGCATCGAATCTTTTGAATAATTTTTTTATTAAATCATATTCTAGAAATTTCAAAGCCCTTTAAAAAAAATCCTGACGTCAGAGAGAAAAACTAAAAACGCAGCTTTACTATATTTGGCCCCCAGCTTTGTGAATATATTGATTTTTTTTGTGTGTAAAATTGACTGTCGCACAGTGTTATATGCATTAATAATTCAAAAATATGAGCTTAAACAAGTAAAATAATAATAATAATAATAATAATAATAATAATAATAATAATAATAATAATAATAATAATAATAATAATAATAATAATAATAAAACCAACGGTTTTACCCTCCATTCCCGCCCATGCGCAGGAGGGGCGCAGTCCGCATGACGTACGGGACCAGTATTGTCAATTTTTGCGCCGTGTCACGATTGGCAGGAGTTTGTTAAGTATCGAGATCTAAAACTAAAACTAAAACTGTTCAGCTACAGAACTAAATTCATCAGCCGTTTTTATGTCTTTATTTTAATGATTAATTTATTGAGAGAGGACAGTATCGATTTTTTAATGCTGAAAAGTGAATCAGATATATCAAATGCGCTAGAATGAGAGTTAAAATCCTGGCATAAGCAACGGAGTGGCTCGTGTAATTCAAAATTAGATTTACAAGTTTTAAAAAATAGGGGATAAAAGTGCCTTGATACACGGGAGGTAACATTAAGGCTAACTTCGCCCAGAAGAAGCGGACTTGAAATTGAGCCTGTTAGTAATTTAACTATAACAAGTAAGAAAGTCTAAGTTCGGGTGGAGCCGAACATTAAATACCCGGCGCAAGTATTAAATATATGTTTTTTCACCTTTCCGAAAGCTACCGCTAGATGGTAAGCCGGGGTGTATTAATTTTGAGTAAATTAGCGTCATTTTACAAAATTTTACCATAAGCGTATTTCTTGGTAAAGAATTGTTGCAAGCATCAATTTTGAATAAATTAGCTTTAATATTTACTGATTTATCGAAGATTTTGTATTTCTCTAAATTACTGTATATGGAATGTGGGCGTGGTTATTGTCCGATTTTTTTATTTTCGGCCATTTAGTATGCTGTACCAAGGCCAACAACTGTGCCAAGTTTGGAAGAAATTGGTGCAGCGGTTACCAAGATAAACACATGTAACCATATGTGGGCGTGGCTACGCCCATTTTCCAAAAATTTATAATATTCTTATTTTTCGTCTGAAAGTTATTGTAAATATCAATTTTGAGTGAATTATCTTCAGTAGTTACTAAAATATCGCAGTTTTCGTATTTCTGGAAATTACCGTTATATGGGAAGTGGGCGTGGTTACAGTCCATTTCTCCCATTCAATACCAACCTACCATGGATTAACGGAAATCAATAAATCAGTAATTTCCAAGTCCTCCGTCATCGAGTGTCCACTCCCCACTTCCCCTGCGTTGACCAAGCGCAACACCCACCCCAACTCTCGTGCTCAGCACTCCATACCTAATGATCTTCCGACATTAACAAACTCCTGAGTTCAGCTTATCATTTTTTTTTTCTAACTCTTTATTCACAATCTCAACTTATCCACTATTTTTAACACTATGAACAATTCCCTTCTACCACCCTAATGCTAACATATACATTAACTTCATAGAAAAAGAAATTCAGTGTTTTTTTTTTTTTTTTCTCCTATTGCCTATTAATCCTAAGCACTGCTCCTACTTTTTCCACTAATATCCCAATCTCTGAACCAAAGCAATGCCTCAAAAGTAAATAAAGGTTTAATCTTATACCTTAAAAAAATAATTGTCTTTTTTCTCACCCTAATACATGTTTCCTACTACTTAAACGTATCTAAATTCATATTCACTACCAATGACTTCTAACTTCCGAATCGGCTCTTTCTGTACATGTAAATTCCGTAATGAGGCCACTTTGCCCTCAATGCTAGTTCAAGATTAGTACAACAAAGAAAACCCGATAAAGATGGGTTTAATTTACGTGCATACATATGTCCCGCGGGCCTATATGTATATATATGTATATATATGTGCATATATGTATAGTATTATATTCAGAGACAATTCATGTACTCACCTTGGCCTCCAGCGATGATGGTACCAGCATGCTGTCGAGAACCTGTGTGGAGAGTTAGAGAGCCTACTATATATACCGACGGCTATACATACATATGTACACCTGCAGCCACGGTGCTGAGGTCTGTGCCTACTGCCCTACTGGTTTTAAAGTAAAACCACTCGCTCGTGATTCCGGACGGCGAGCGAATCGGAAAACTACCGGGGAAAATACGCATGTGTAAAAAATCAAAAAAAATTGAAAATTAAAACTTAAGAAAATAAAATTTAATGCGACTTAACTCAAACTTAAAAGTGGCGAAACGACATGTGTAAAAAAATAAGATCAGTGAACCTAACTCAGAAAGTGCCCTGTGACTCGAACTCTAAAGGAAAGTCAAAAAAAAAAAAAATACTTGCATGTACAAATGTATATCTATGCATACATATACTGCCAATAGCGAACGGAAAAGAAACCAAAAATATAAATTCGCATGTCCGTCTGGCTATGGCATACATGTGAGCATAGGTATATATGTAGTACATGCTGAATGCAATCCAAAAAAAAAATTTTAAAAAAAACTATTGTGTTGAACCAAATTATGCAAATAAAAAACCATGTGCTAAGCAAAAATAACACCTAGAAAAAATCGGGAATTGAATTCATGCCCGCAAAGGTCGGGGATGGCAAACCCGAAGAAAGCGGAATAACTAAGAAGGAATGCAAAAATCAAGTAAAATAAAGCAAGGTATGTAAGAGCCCTGAGTTCCCTACATACATACGTATAGGAGAAGCTTAAACTAGGTAAGAAAAAAGAATGTGCATAAAACTAAACAAAAGCAATTAAGTGCGAGAATTCAAGATGATCGCGGCGCAGCTGCGGATCAGCGGCGTAGGCGCTGCGCTGGCCTGTTACGCTCCTGCTGTGGATGCTGTCCCACGATGTCACGCTCTCCTCTGCTTCTAACAGAACTGCTCTCCGTGGCTTGATGCTCCTTCTCGCTTATTACTTTCCCGGTGTTAACTAGTATGAACATGCGTATGAAGATCCCGTGGTTGATAATTTGTTCCGTCCAAATCTTCCAGACCAGCTGTTCGTTGTGATGTTTGTATTTGCATATATCTGTGTATGTGCGCTGTTATATTTGTAGCTGTTGGCTTTAAATGTATGCGTCGATGTGTGTTCATGTGTTCGGATGTGTGTACACGAGTGGATTGGTGAAGGAGTTGGCTTAGCTTTAGTGCGTCTGCCCACAGCTTTTTCCACGTTCCGTATAGTGCAAGATACGCTTGGTGTGGAGTGGAGGTCCTTTTATGCATGGGCGACCTGGGGGTAGAAAAACTTTAATTTAGTCTACTGCTTAGACATCTACTGGCTTATGTGACTTTCTGCTCTTGTTTTCTTTAACGTTAATTTGCCGCCGGCTTACTTACACACATAT